AATGATAAATAAAACGAGAAATGTATAATCAATGATATAATAATAAAATCAAAGTATAAAAGATAAATTTAATATTAATATAAATCAAAAGAGAATAAATGATAAGAATATAAAAATGATAAGAATATAAAAATGATAAAGATGAATATTCAAATAATAAAATACATTTAAATATAAAAGAATAACAATAAGAAAATCTAAATAATATAAACATAAAAATAATAAAATAAGAATAATATAATAATATAATAATATATAGATAATAAGAAGAATACAAAGATATAAATAATATAAACAGAGAAATAAATATATAAAAATACGATAGATAAATAACATATAAATAAAAGAATATGAATAATAAAAATAAATATGATTCATCAAATCATCTATTTCATTAATATTTCATACAAAATGAATACAAATGATTATAAAATATAAACATAAATATTTACATATTCTGTATTTATCATACTTTTTATTTTTTATTTTTTTTAGGAGCAAAATATAATAAAGTGGAATATTCTATGGATGCAAATTTTTTTGCATCTTTTTCATTTTTGTAAATTATTTAGATGCATTTTTTCTTTGCTAATTTTCGTACCCTTAAATTTATCTTTTATACTTTGATTTTATTATTATATCATTGATTATCATTTCTCGTTTTATTTATCATTTATTCTTATTATTCTTTTGTTTTATATTCTATCTATGTTATATATTCATATCATTTTCATTTATATTTTATCACTTATTATATATTATAATAACATAACACATATGATTGAATATATAATAAACATCATGTTTAAATTATACATATAAATAATAAACATAAAAAATAATACAATATTTTTTTTTCAATAAAACAATATTAATTATTTTGAATCATTAAATTAGACACTTATTATTGAATATTTCTAATTTTTACATTAAAAATACACTTTTTATTTCTTCTTTTATTATCTATTCTATTTTATTACTCTTTATCTTCTTCTACTTTTTCTTAGTTTCATAATTTTATTTTTCATCACCTTCTACTTCTTATGTCTTTTTATTCTTTTATATCTTTCTCTTCTTTTTCCATTATTTGCTTTTTTTCGTTGCCGAGGCTGTGCACTCAACATCACATTTAACTACAAAGTATCACTGAGAGGTTAATTATCTAATTCAACTCTTTTATTCTATTTTCATTTAAATTCTAGAATATAAAAACAAGAACTAGAAAATAAGAATAAGAATATGAGTGAGAAGCAACTTGATATTCAAGTATTTAAAGATTATAGCATTGATTTTACAACTAATGTTCCATTAGTGAATGAAGTTATGGCAAGAGAAGTTATTAAGTACTTGTACAAAGTGGATATGAGTGAGATGAAAATAAAGGATATCCAGAATAATGAAGAAATAGACAAAACAAATGATGATTACGATTATGCTATTCAAATAGGATTGTACTCTCACAATAGTATTTCTAATAAATATATTGTAGGAGGAATGGTAGTTTCTAGTAAGGATAAAGTTCCATATTTGTTTTTAGCTAATTCATATAAAATTTCATATTGGAAGACAGATATAGAGAATTATGATGGAGACTTTTCTATTACTAATAAATCATTTATGGTAGAGAGAAATCTTGGAATAGACATTAAAGGTACATTACATTTACCAAGAAAATCAGCATTTTT